AGAAATGCGCTTCTCTCCTGGGAGTCAAGAATCTGCATTGCGGACGAGGTTGCAAATTCAGACACAATAAACAGAATTAAGAAAAACTGAGCTGGCATTTGACAGAAATTGTAAAATGACACTCAGAAATGTTGCTCTTGTGGAAATTACTGATATTAAAATATAAATCAGTGTCTTGTGTTTCCCGTAGCACCAGGGGCTCTATTAGGTTATGCAGTTTGATTGCTGAGCTGAAACTTAGAGACTTGACAGTTCAGTGCTGAAGTTATCACAAAGTATTTAACCCTTCTCCTGCTGGAGAAAGGCACCTCAGCAAAGGCCTTGTGTTCTGGTTTCGGTTTTGTTTTATTGAAGCTTCGGGAACCTGAGGGAAGGTAGAGGAGACAAAGGCGGGGTAGTGGATAAAGGTTATTGGAAAAAGCCTTTCTCAGGACATTAGTCTTGTTGCATAATATAGGCAGACAGCACTCAAGAACAACTCAGGAGACAAATTCTCTGCTAGAAAGAGCTAAGGAGAAAAGTCTGTTAAATGTTTTTAAACACACATAACACATGTTTTTAATTTAATCCTTGTAACAATCCTGTAGGATGGTGTTAGCAGCCCTCGATTTGCTTCTTATTCATAGCAAGTGAATGTACAGTAAAACTAAACACTGTGCAGCCCTGTGCCATCCTCACCATCGTGGGTGTTTGAGTCCATGGTTGCAGCAATGTGTCACTTCATCACAGTGGCGGTCTTCCTCTGTTTTACTGACCCTCCAGTTCACCACAAATGATGTGTTTTTCTAGGAACTGCTCCCTCTTGATAACACATCTAAAGTGTGTGAAACTCACTTTCTCCATCCTTCCTTCTAAGGAGCATTCTGGCTGTATTTCTTCAGAGACATACCTGTTCATTCTTCCGGAAGTCCTCGGTATATTCAATATTTATTGCCAGTGCCATAATTAAAAAGAAGCTATTCTTCTTCAGTCTTCTTCACTCACTGTCCAGCTTCCGTGTGCACATGTGGTAACTAATACCATGGCTCAGGTCAGATACACCTTAGCCTTCAACATGACCTCTTTGCTTTTTAATTGTTTTAAAGAGATCTTTTGCAAAATCCTTGCCCAATGCAATAATGTCCTTTGATTTCTTAACTGCTATTTCCATGGATTTAGATTGTGAGTCCAGGTAGAATGAAACCTGTCCATTTCTGAGTCCTTTTTCCCCATCAGTGCTTTCAGTGCAACTTGGACTTCCACCTTCGGCACCATCCGTTGTTGATCATATGCTCCAGTCTCCAGTTGCTGAACATGAATCAGTTCTTTTTAGCGCACTGACTGTGTATTTCTTCCATTTTCCTTTGATACTTCCTGCATTATTCAGTCTTTTGCCTATAGATTGATTCTTCAGTTGGAACCTGAAGTTTGAATTTTCTTCCAAGTTGAGAAATGCTGAGGATGTTTTTCCTTTTGTTTTTCTAACTCCCTGGCCATGCACATTTCATTATAATGTTTTACTCTGTCTTCTCAACCCACACTTAGAAATCTTCCTTTAATCTCTTTTATGTCATCATTTCTTCTGTTCATTTTAATTATTCTACCATCACAAGCAAATTTCAGAGTCTCTTCTCTCATTTTTGTCTTTGCTTCCTTTCTCTTTGACAGCCTTTTGCTCTTTTGATATGTGATGTGCTTGATGTCATTTCACAACTCATCTGGTCTTAGTTATTCATTTTCGGTGTGTCAAATATATACTTAAAATTGCACTTAAGCTCTTATGAACTTATCTTAATTTTCTTCTGCTTTAGCCTGAACTTGCATATGAGCAATTGATGATCTACTCTACAATGACCCTTCGTTTCATTATAACGAATAATATTTAGCTTCTCCAGCATATTGTTTCATACTTGTGGTCTTTTTGAGTCCTATGTATTCCATCTAGTAAGACCCGCATGTACAGTCACCATTTATGCTTTTAAAAAGTTATTGCCACTAACTGTTGTTGTTGGTGTTGTTGTTGCTGCTGCTGCTGCTGCTAGGGGCTGTCAAATCATCCACAACCCTGTGAAGAGTAGACCTGAACTCTGGCCTATCCTACACCATCCTCATCATCCCTGCTGCCACTGTGTCATCAGTCTTGTCAAGGGTGTTCCTCTCTTTTACTTATCCTCAGCCTTCCAAGCATGATGTCCCTCACTGGGGCCTGGCCTCTCCTGGTAACATGCTCAGAATGTCTGCAAAGAAGCACCTCAGCTCTTCCTTGCCTTTGGCGTGCAAAGTTGTGTCATCTGCATACTACAGGTTGTTAGCCGTCTTCCAATTCTGATGCCACATTCTTCTTCTAGAATCCAACTTTTTTAATTATTTGCAGACACAGCCCTGATATGTACCTTTCTTTATTTTAAGCCAGTAGTGTTCTCTTGCTCAGTTCAGACAACAGCCTCCTGGTTTGAGTAGAAGTTGTATCTTCTGACTGCCGATCCTTACTTGTTTCCAACTTTCACATTCCAATCACTAGTAATTACTATAGCTTGACTGCAAGTGTATTGTCAGATCCTTCCTCCTAGTCTGTGTTTATCAAATGTACTAAAACCTTACTGGTCTTTGAAATGCCAATTCTCAGCTTCCAGCATTGCAGCACAACATGACAAAATATATACTTAATTAAAGTATCATAATGTATAAAAGCTAAAGAAGTAAAATAGATAAAAATAACTAGTATAAAACATTTTTTCTTTTAGTAAGTTATAGGGAGATGAACCTAAGTTGGGGGGGGAAAGAATATTTAGTAGAGTACAATAATTTCCATTTCTAGCATAAGGAATGAAAGGCTAACCTAATGGGTTAGGGTTCAAAGGACTCAATAATTATCAAAGCTGCTAAGAAATAATTCCATCAATGTGTTTTAAAAAATAAGATTAAATTATTAAAATACTAACAGTTAAAAAACCAAGTCCGACTTGGTTGCAAGTAATCTTGTGATTCCTTATGAGATCTTTTTATGAAGCATTGTAGGCCCTCAAAACACTTTTTTAAAATCTAGCTGGCAAACATTATTGTCAAATGCATCTAAAATTCATCATAGAACTCTTCCATTTTTTATGATTAAGTACTTTCCAATAACCTCCTGTTATTAATGATTCTTGGGATTCTTTGTTGCCTTCATGGGACAAAATTCAGTTGTCTTCTTTTTTCTCCTATCTTAATTTTTTCCATGATATTTTTAATACAAATATTGAAACGTATACCTCACTTTTAAAATTATCTTACTTCAAAATTATCTTAGCCAGTTCACCTCTAGTTATATACCCCATTACAGATGAAACTATCACAGTCTGCAAAATCAGCATTCTGTCTTTTTTATACAATTTCATTTGACTTAAGAATTATTTCCTTGCTTCCCAGTAGATCAGTATTTGTTCTTTCTGACTTTTGTCTGATAAGTCTATTGCCCTATTATAGAAAGATAGTAGAACATGGAACTAGTCACCTTAGATCTAGGAAAACTTTCAAAAAAGCCATCTCCTATAAGTTGCTTAGTTTACAAAGGCAGAAACAAAGACTCAGATGAACGCCTTCCAAAAGGCCACTCCTCACAATTAAGTGCTGAACCATCTAATTTGAGTACATAAAACTTTATTTTCTCTTCTTTTATGTCAAACTCATTTTTAATCTTCTCTCTTTCCTGGTGTGAAAGTCATCTGTAATATTCACCAATATTTCTTCCATTCACATAGAAGAAAGATATAGTTGTGTAATTTGCTTTGGCCAATGGAATTTGAGTACAAGTGAAGTGTATCATGTCCACTTTAAGAACTGGCATATGATTTGCCAAGTTCCCTTTCTGTTGCTATGGCAACATACAACAATTTCTCTGTGGACAATGAGGCACAGAGTGTGGATAGTACTGAGAAGAGGGCCAGTTGACTCATACAGGTCACGTAGTGTAAGTGAGAAATAAACATGACTGGCTTTTAAGTCAGTGAGATTTGGGAGTTGTTTGTTACAGCACTGCTACCTAGCCTGTGTCTACTGGCTAATCCCAAGCGACATCATCATTCCCATGATGCATCTGTGTATGAAGCCTCAAGAGCCTAAACAATGCTGCACATCAGAATGTAACTCCATAAAACATTCCAAATTCTAAGTATCACCCACATTCTTTCTTCCTCTTGGCTCATTTTAGGGGTGGGAGATGTGGTTCATTACAAAGAATGAGAATTTGATAGCTTCTCATTCTTGGAACTATTCTGCAGGTAAGTACCTGGAGGATATTTCCTCTGACCTTAAAGTTAAAAACATAATGAATTAAATGAATAAGTTCAGTGCACTGTACCTCAAATGTACCATCTTTTACTTACACACACACACACACATAAATCAGCAAAGGTCTTTGGTTTTCTTTGAAATTTGTTACCTAGATCATTCTCAGCATTTTACAAGTTTCCTAATTTTACAGACTTCAACATTATAAGGAATCATGGCTTCAAAAATAACTCATCCTCAGATCTTTTCAAATCTATAGGAATCCATTAATGGAAATTACTCACAAAATACTAAAAGAGCCTGTGTGACCTTGAGCTTGTCACTTCGGCTTTCTGGGCCTCAGACCTGGGAGACGAAGTGGAGCCAAGCGCACAGAATGATTAATACCGTGAGAAACCTTAGTTAGTGCATAATATTAAACCATTGACTACTTAAAATCTAGAAAGTAGACTCATTACAGATATTTCACTTTCTTAGAAGGGTGAAATCAGAAACGTTTTAGTTCACCGAGTAGTGGCTTTCTGGAAAAGATGTAAAGTCATAGTCCTACCTCTCTGGTGACGATTTCAACAAACTTTTGAAAATAGAGACATGAGCAGGCAAGTAGATACTGCTTACCATTTAGGAAAACTTTCCAAACCTCAGAAAAGGCCAGAGATGCAGGTAGGAAAATCTTTAGAGGGCCAGACTAATTTCTACTTTTCTCATCTTAAACACTTGAACTTATTCAGGTTTATAACAAAAGTCAGAAAATGCTAAAGCTTAAAGAAGCATTGAGAGCTGCCAAGGAAGTGAAAGAAGAGGTAAGGCTCCTAACTCCTTTCCATCAACGGAGCTAAATCTTTGTTACAGGCAGAGTTTTAAACCAGTTCAGACCAGAACAGATAAGAATTTTTACAATTTGGGTGATGGAGAAAACATACAGGAGTGGGAAATGTTACAGGTCAAAATCCCAGAATGAGGCCCCTGGGAGAGACACAGTGAGCCTTTTCAGCAGCCTGACGGGGAGTCTGCATCCTTTCCCGGATGGTGGAGCACGTTCAGGACAGCACATTCAGCCATCGTTGTTTTAGCCACGCGTCACATTTTATTAAACCCAGTCAGTAGAGGTATTTGGTATCTATGCAACATGCTTGCTGCCCCTGTTTTCTAAGAGAACCCTATCCAGGTTTTGACCTTTGTTTTTCATGTTCAGGTTATGACTCTAGTTCACCCACATTTTAAAAATTCTTCTCTATTCTGGTGTCACTTCGTCAGCTATGACTGAAATGGGCTGAAGCTGTTCAAAGTCCTGGCGACTTCTTTCCGTTATCACCATTCGGAATTCCCAGTGGCGAGTATCACAATCAGTGAGGGACGAGGTGGCAGGAGCAGGAGAGCGCACAGGGTTAGGAACTCAAACTCCGCCTGTGTGCCAGCTGCAAACACGGTAGTAGCATGAGGGAGGGCATGTCACTTCATTTCTCTGCATTCCCTTGGCCTAACATAGAAACCCCTGCACTGGTGATGCAACTTGACTACACACCAAAAGGCGGTTCATTTTGAATCCACCAGTTTTTCCAGGAGAGGAAATCATGGCAGTCCACTTCTCGAAACATGAGGTGGTTCTGTTCTGTTCTCATCTTACAAGTTCAGGTGTGAATCAGAATCAACATAATGGCAATAGGTATGGTTTAGATTGGAAATTACAAACTAAAGCTAATGGGAACCTATGTCAATGACTTGCTCTGAAGAATAAATGAGACCCTAGTGCTTGGCACATAGAAACCCAAACTCAACTCACGGCCATCAAGTTGGAACCAACTCATCGCTAACCTTCCTGTGAGTTTCCCAAGCTGTAAATCACATAAGAGCAGATTGCCCCCCTCTCTCCCTCAGAGCTACTGACAGATTGAAGCACGAGAGAGGCTCAGCCTTTGCGTTTACTAGTACAACTCCCTTGAACGACACTAACAGAGTTTCTAAATAGTAACTGTTGCTGCCAACATTCTCTCTTAACTGGAATGATGAAAATGGAGTATTCTGAGTAATCTAACAGTTTGATCAAAATATGTTTAAATAATCTCTCATTTGTTCCAGAAAGGATGTAATGTGGCTATTTGGGTCAGTATAGATTGTCACACACATTGATTTGTCCCATGAAACATGAGGGAAAAAAATGTGTTGGTTTCACTTTAAGAATCAGTGTGTGAGTCACCAAAGTCCTATACTACTGCCATGGCAACAGGCAACATACTAGATGATCAAGAATGGGACAGCACATGCTTTATAGCCAACCTCCTACCAAATGGTGAACCACGTCTAAAGAATTATGGGAAGTGTCAGCTCCATTCCTGGTGGCTTACATTATCAAGGGGCCTGTGTGAACACACTGCTGGGGAACAAGGACCAGGTAGGGGTTTTATAGAAGGTTATTCACCCAGCTGATGTCTTTCAGATGCCTTCGGTGAACCAAATCTTGTTCTAGACGCTGAGTATAAAGCAGTGAACAAAGCACACAAAGATTCCTACCTCGTGGAGCTTACTATCTAATGGAGTGTGTGGCCACTTCACAGATTACAGTAAAAATCAACCCACATCCCCTACATGCCTAAACTCTGCCATATGTCACGTGTATCTGTAAACCACATACTGGCATAGTATGCCAAGTTTTAAAGAACCTTGAACACAATAAAATAGATTCCTACTTCACTGAATGAACATAATTGGTTTCAGAATTTTTGCTCACAAGTGAACCCTTGTATAAATGCCCATTAATTCCCATTATAAATGTAATGGCAAAAACTGTAGTATTTCTATACATGGAAAAGTAAACTCAGAAATCAAGTTGGTAATATTAATAATAGTGTTAGATATTACTATAGCTAACTGGAAATCATTAAATAAGTAAAATGTGAAAATTGTTGAAAGAGTATTAACGTTTAAGATTTTACACTTTTCCTCTCATCATAAGTTGGAATCTCTTGGATGGTTATGATAGTAGTGGTGGTTAAAAATGGTTTTCATTATTGAAGATGTGCCCTTCCTCCCAAGCCAAAGAAGCTAGTTTTCCAAAAATAATGACCTCTTTGGCATAACTGCCTTGCTCCAAAAAAGTTCTGGCAACTGCTACTCAGTGCTGGGAATACTGCCATTATGAGACTTTGTAATGCTCTTGAGCTCTAAGAGTGCCACTGAATCAGATGCTTCTGTTTAACAGTCCCTTCCAAACTGTCTCCAAAAAGAAGCATGAGACTGTCTCTCAATACCTTGAAACCAAAGCAAAATGTCTTTCCTTCTTGGAAATCCATGTTCAAGAAGTCAAGCTGTCCAAGGGATAGAGGTGGGGAGGACCCTATTTGATCAACACAGAAAGTTGCTTCCCTCAAAAACCTTTTTCCAATATTTATCATGAGTGTGGCCACAGTTACAATATCAGCAGCTGCCATTTAGCCAGTGGGTTGGTAGCTGTTGATAATGTAACTTGCTCTCAAGCAAAATGACCACTTCCTTCCAGCTAATTTTAAAATCTATGTGCATGGCTTATGGGAGTGAAACTCACCTAGTGCCAGAGGCTATGATGTCAGCCATCCTTAATGACTTCAGATCCAGGCCAGGATCAGATGGTGCCGAGGGGTCAACATCATGATTTTCAGTTCATCCCATGCCCCAATTCTAGCCATAGAACTATGATTGATGAAATGTCATATTAAATCAATTCCTACTGCATATTGATACTCAAAAGGCATCTGTCTGGAATTAGCCTTCATAAGGTTGATAAGATTCTAAACAGTTTGATTTGACCTCTGTGCAAGATATTAGGAAATAATTAGGTTTACTGGGATCCCAGAAGCACTTGTCTTTCTGGAGTTCATTGGTAAACACAGCCTCTTTTTACAACTACCCACATTATTTTTTTTAAAAAAAAAGTTTGTAGTGTATGTAAATCACCTTGCTACTCTCCCAGAGCTTTCCCTGCTGTTCAAATGAACCAGAAGCCTTTTATGATTTGAGCTTTAGAAGTAAATGGTCAGGGTTTTTTATTGCAGAAACTAATTTTATTTGACATTCAGCACAACCCATTATTTACTCAACTGATTTAGAAAATTTTCAAAGAAAGATGATTTAGTCCAAACCTCCGTTAGGAATGAAGAAACTGCCTCAGAGAGTCAGGATCCATGCTAATATCCAAATTAGATGAAGTCATCTGCATTAAAGATCCACTTCTGAAATACTGATGGTGCAGCAGAACTAGGCTAGTGTGCCTTCTGCTCCAAGGACATCCAAAACTGGAAAGAGGAGGGCATTTTTTTTAATTGGCCTGAAAGAGACAGCATGTTGAGCTTTTAACTTAGAGAGGCTCAAGTAGTTATTGGTATTTTATGAGTCCCTTTGGAACGCACTGGTGGCATCATCCTCACCTTAAGGTAAGATATTCAATATCAGATTACGACTATAGGACACTTGTCTAAAGCACAAATAATGTTAGTACCCAGTCTTCTAATAGATGCCAAGCATCTAATAGATGACAAGAGAAGAGATAAACTCTACGGTGCAGCTTCTGCACAAGGCTTCATACCCTGTTCCCACCATGTCAACCATGAGTAAAAGGACTTAAGGCAGTAGAATCAAACCAGCAGCCAGGAAGTCAAAAGACCAATTGCAGGGGAGCTCTGGTGGCCTAGTGGCAAGGAGCTGCAACTACAATCCCAGAGGCACACGGTTCGAATCCACCAGATGCTCTGCCGGGGAAGGAGGGACAATCTCCTCCTGTAGCAGTCAGATCTGATTTGATGGTACACACAAACAAAAATAATACTTTTAAAAAAAGACCAGTTGCACTGGGGAAATTTGCTGTCCGGGACCTCTCCAGAGTACTAAAGAATATCTGTATCAGTCTGTAGACAAAGGTGCACCTGATTCAGGCCATGGTCTTTGCAGTTGGATGCTGTGCATCCAAAAGCTGGATGGTAATGAAGGATGAGAGAAGGAGAATTGTTGCCTTTGAGCTGTAGTGTTGGAGAAGAGTACTAAATATACCATGGGCTGCTAGGAGAACAAACAGGTTCATCCTGGAGAGGGTGGAGACAGGCTGCTCCTTGGAGGCAAGGATTCTGAAGCTCCACCTGACATACACTGGGCAGGGTGCGAGGAGGGAACAGTCCGTGGAGAGGGAAATCATGCTTGGGAGGGTGGAGGGACAGCATAGAAGAGGAAGATCCTGGATGAGAGGGATTGACTCAGTGACTGGGGTAACAAGGGTAGGTGTGTCAGAGACAAGGTTGGCTCAGGGGAGAGCAGGGTTCAGAGCTGTTGTACAGAGCGTCACTACAAGTCTGACTGAAGTGACTTGACAGCACAACAACGGCTCCTTGTAGGGTCAAGGATTTTGTTTTCAAGTTAGAAAACCAATGTCTGCACACCATTTTTTTAAGCTGTTTTATACATATTAAGAGAATCCTTTGTAATTGTCTTAATGGTAATTACACGCTTAGGGCAGTTGACATCCACTGTTATTTTTCTGGAAGCAAGGAACAAGGGAAGAGAGCAAGACAGGAGGAGGGAGTGCTCCGAGATAATGAAATCCTTTTAATGACAGGACCATGCCGTTAACCTAATTAAACTGTAAAGTGGTTAAAAAAAAAAAAACCAACCCAGGTACTAAATGGAAATGAAGAAATAAATCAGCTGAGACAGCAGCACTTCTGGGAAACCTTCTGAATTCCGAATAGTCTGACATTGCAGTGTCCGAGTCTTATGTTTATCATTTGCTTCCCCACACCTTGACTTTGCACAGAAGTGGCTTCAACTGACCTGTCCAGTGAGGCTTGATTTATGATGTCCACACCATGTCTCCAGTTCCACGGGGAATGTCAGTTATTTGCCTCATATTTAAGATCAGTCAGGAGGATATGACAGAGCACTGGCTGTGGGCTCTGCTGCTAACCAGCTATGCGGCCTTGGGCATCTTTTCACCCTTTCTGTGCTGTGCGCCCACCCCTGGCTCCCCTGTCCTTTTGCAGCTGACTCTCTTCTCATCTTTCTTCTGTAGAACAGCTGGTGGGTTTGAACCACTGACCTTCCACTCAGCAGCCAGCCAGTTAACCACTATTCTATCAGGATTATAACAGTCTGTAACCCACTCATGACCCTCAGTTGATTTCACCTCAGGATGACCACCTGCTGGGGTTCCAAAGTAGTAATCCCAGTGGGAGCAGGTTACCTCATTCCTCCTGAGAAGCAACTGGTAGACCCAAGTCACCAACTTTGAGGCATGCGATCTGAAATGCAGCTCATGGGGCCAGCAGGGCTCACTGCTTTTGTGGTTAGACACCATGAGTCACCTCTGACTCAGCAGTCCTGTGGAGAACAGAGCAAAAGTCTGCCTCTTCCTGTGCCGTCCTCACAATCTCGCCTGCAGGCTCACACACATTGTTGCACCAGCTGCATCAGTCTGTCTCACTGGAGGCTTTCCTCCTCTTCCGTGACTCTCCACTTTTCCAAGATTGATGTCCCTTTCCAAAGACTGGCCCTTTCTAATAACATACTTGAAGAATGTGAGACAAAGTCTTTGCTTCTAAGGAGCACTCCAGGAGTCCTTCTTCCAAGTCAGTTTCTTTGTTCTTTTTTTCTTTCTTTGTGGGACAGTCAATATTCTTTGCCAACATCACAATTCAAAAGTTTCGCTTTTTCTTCTATTTCCCTTACACATTGTCCAACTTTCACATAGACAGGAAGCAACTGAAAATACCATGGCTTGGGTTAGGTGCCCCTTAACTCTTTAACTTGACAGCCTTACTCATTAACACTATTAAGAGGCCCTTGAGAGTAGATCTGCCCAATGCAATACATTTTCTGAATCTCTGCCTGTTTGTTTCATGGGCATTTATTGTGGATCCAAAAAGATGACATCTATGACATTTTAGTCTTTTCTGTTTCATCTCACATCATGATGTTGCCTGTTGGTCCAGTTGGGAGGATTTTTGTTTATGTTGAAGTGTAACATGTCTGTTCAGGAGAGGGTGAAACCAGGCTGCTCCTTGGAGGCAAGGATGTTGAACTTTCATCTCACATTCTTTGGACATGTTACCAGGAGGGACCAGTCGTTGGAGAAGAACATCATGTTTAGAAGGGTGGAGGGGCAGCACAGGAGAGGAAGACCCTGGATGAGAGGGATTGATTAAGTGACTGGGGCAATGAGCATAGGTGTGTTGGAGACAATGAAATTGACTCAGGCTAGGTCAGGGTTCAGGGCTGTTGGACAAGCGACTCAATAGCACAAAACAACAACAGTGTTGACGTGTAATCCAGGCTGTAGACTCTGATCTTTTTAGCAAGCACCTCACATCCTCTTCTCTTTGAACAAGCAAGGTTGTGTCACTAAGTGTCTGGAATTATCTGTCTGACTTCATCCTGAAAAACAGGATAAATGTCTGATGCACCTACAGCAATGTGGTGAGGATTAATTAGTATCAATACGTAATTGTCGGAATAATGCAGAGCACTCAGACACCTTCCAGCAGGCGCTGCATAAACATTACACAGGATGAGTTATAACAGCTTCGCTTTGATGGACAAATTTCCAGCAAATTTAAAGTCTCTCGTCAACTTGTTAAGTGAACGAAAGCCAGCCTTTTCTTGCAAGTTTATAATTTATGGTTTTGTTTTTCCGGCTGTCCAGATGGAGGAGAGAGACGCAGACATGAGCAGCCTGAGCAGCAAGCTCCTGAGCCTGCAAATGGACATCAAGAGTCTACATAACATCTGCAAGAGACAAGGAAGGACATTGCAGGACAGTCAGCTCTGTACGGAGGAGGAGGAGGCGATGCTGCCCGGCAGCCAGGTGAGGGCTCAGAGCGGCCGCCTCCCTCTGCTCCACAGACCAGAAATGATGTAAAGTTCTTCCGTGGAGCAGTCAAGAGCGTTAGTGGAGAAAGCAACAGGACATCATTACACACACACACTCACACACACGTTGAAATATGTGCAAGTGGAAAGCACCATGCTTGGCCTCAAGATGTTGCAACCTCGCTGTTGCCGAGATAACCTACATCTGGTGTCCTTTCCTTCTCTGATCCTTCACAACTGCATTTACAGCACCTGAAGCCCAGCTCCACCAACACCCACTGCCATTGAGCCAGAGCAATCCGATAGCACGGGGCACAACCGTCCCATAGGCTTCCCACAGTTCGCTGAATCAAAGTCCTAACAGCTTTGATGAGAACACATCCTTTCTCGGCTCCCTGCCTTCCCCACTCTCATCTCGCAGCTCCGTAGACAGTTGTGTCACGTAGGGCTTGGAACCAGTTCGGTCCAGTTCTGCCCCCTGCGAAGAATCTGGTTTTCCACCCCAAAGATACTGAATTCAGAATCTACATCGTATCCAGATTCTTGCAAGAACCACCTGGGGATCCTAAGAGTCACCCAGGAATCATTTTATAATGTACACTGATTCAATACCACTGGGATGGAAAAGTAACTACTATATGCACCCAGTACCATGTCACATGGGCTGCTTCCGGGATCCCCAAAACAAGACCCTTGGGTCACAGTGGTCATGTGTATGTGTAAACAGTTAGGACTTCCTGGTGTAATCATCTTTTCCCAAGTCAGTGGTTTTGAACCAATCCTTATCTATAGGCAGTTCATTAGTTGAGGCGACTAGTTAGTCCGCAGGCTCCTTTAACACTAAGATTGTTAAACCAGTTTGTAAATGTAGCCACTCAAATTAGAAAACCAGCTGGCAGATATTTTCTTAAAAGTTTGGCCTTCTAAGGGAGCTCTGGTGGCCTAGTGGCAAGAAGCTGCACTGCAGTCCCAGAGGTGTGCGGTTCAAATCCACCAGATGCTCTGCTGGAAAAGGAGGGACAATCTCCTCCTGTACCAGTCAGATCTGATTTGACGGTACACACTAAAATAATAATATTTTTTTAAAAAAAGTTTGGCCTTCCAAGAATTCCTTGCTTGTGAGTTTCATTTCTGCTGAGTTTTTGGTAAACATGAAGCAGATACTGATTGCACAGACCTGTTGCCGGACCTCCGAGTTACTGTTTCGGTTGCTTTTAAGGTAACTAGCTCATCGATGTTTGTGATAAAGGACTGGGTCTCTTCTAATTATTTCTATTAGCGTTATTGCAGGCCTTACCTCTTCACTAGAGAAGCCACAAATTGCTCCTCCGTGGTGCCCTCAAAGTCCTTCCCGCAGGGCAGTTCTCCCTCCCCTTACCCGAGCGTGGCTGTTCTTTCCCCAGGAAGGTACTGACAGAAATGTCTGCTGGCTTTCTTAAGTGAGTCCCAGGAAGAAGATGGCCATAATTCCCCTCTTTCTAAATATTAACATTTTAGAATATTTCCCCTATTGCTATCATCAGTTTACTTATTCCCCCGTCAAGGGAAGCCATGTGGTTTATAAAGTGTACCTGGCAACTTGGAAAGAGAAAAGTATTAAATCGCATTGTATTATTCTAATTGCACAGAAGAAGGTCTAACAGCTTGAAACAAGCTTTAAAGCCAGCTCGCTCGCTCTTTTTTTTTCCCCCTAGCACTTAGTGCAGAATTTAAATTGCAGACTGAGCATACAAATATACAATTACATGTAGACTTATACTCTAAAGAGTGTCTCAAAGAAAAAAGGACAATGGAAATATCACAAAAAAATTGTGATCAAGCCCAAAAGGGAGGCCTTTGGAATAATTTCCCCAGGCCTGTTTGGCCCCAGTTGGTGTCCTAGGGAGCATATCCTGACATTCAGTAGGGTTCAGTTTGTGAAACTGAACTTCGAAGGATATTAGTTTTAGCATAAAATTATGAAAAGCAAGTTCAATTCCTGAAAATAAAAATGAGTTGAATATGTAAAGATTAATGGAACCTTGAAGAAAAGTACCACAGACATACATCATTTTGAATTATTGGGAAAGAAAAGGAAAATTCTGTTAATCTGTTAAATTTAATGTCAGATGGTAGAAGACTAGGTCCTGGGACAGAAAAAAAAGGACCTAATTCATTAAACATGGAATTAGAAAGAGCCTTCCATTTCGTTCCAAAGCTGTAAATCGCAGGGGAGGAGATTTCCTGTCTTCTTCACAGCTGGTGGTGGATTTGAACTACCAGAAAGCCATGGGCCATGGGTTAGCAAAGCAACTCTATGCGCCAGGCCATGAGAGCTCTGTAAGTGTCCCATAGTTACGTGAGATGTTCACATTAGCGGAAGCTGGGGGAAGGGTATGCTGGGACTCTCTTCGAGTGTTTTTACAAGCTTTCTGTAAAGTTAAAATGACTCTAAAGGAAAAAGTATATACCTTCATTATCCATTTAAACTTCATGCAGACTCCGTAGGTTCTTGTCACTCCCATTTTACAGAGGAGGGAAATGCGTGCTACAGGCCACAATGGTCTAGAGGTTGCAGGGACAGTGGCAGCTCTTCTATATGCGGACAAGATTTCCTTACCCCATGTAACACCTGCAGCCCCAAAAATGCCTTGGTCAAGACATCTAATAATTTTCTTTCTTCCATGACTGAATATTCAGACATTATGTCTACCCATGCCATAATGAAAGATAAAATCAAACGTTATTTCCCCAAAGAGTTCAATAGAGTTTATCAGGACAGGATTTGGAAAAATAAAATATTCATCTTTACTATCATGGAGGGGTGTGTGAAGGAAATCTCTGGTAAGCTGAGGTCACTTATGAGGAGAAAGGCTAAGTCAAGCTGATATATTCAAAAGAAATGCACGTTACTTAAGCATACAGTTCTGTACACTCCCAGAAAGTACAAAATACAATTTGTAGAAAATGTAAAGAAGTCACAGATACAATTATCTAGTAATGTAAGGCTAAATTGAAATTACGAAGAAATAGAGTCCTAATAGTAGATTAAGCAGCAGGCTACTCACCAAAGAGTTGATGGTTCAAATCCACCACCCACTCTGTGGGAGAAAAACGAGGTGGTCGTCTCCCAGGATTTACAGGCTTGGGAATCCTATCAGGCAGCTCCATCCTATCCTGTGGGGTCACTATGGACCGACTCAGTGACAGTAGTCGTGGGTTTGGAACGCCTCAAAGATAGGTAAGAAGTGAACAACAGTGTTTGGGAGGGGAAAAGGCAGTGAGACTTTCAGTCATAAATGGGGAAGAAAATTAGCAGAGATTGTTATTAGAACAATGGCAAACTGCAACAAAAGAGCATCACAGGAAACTAGAACAGGGAATAAAAATGGTTAAAAAGTATTTTGAAAAGCTGGCTCTAGGCAAATCAGCAGGGCCTGATGACATACTTGGAAGAGTACTTAAGGAATTGGCAGGTGTTATTACATAGCTGCTAGCGATTATTTTTGAGAACTCAAGAGGATAAAGAAAGTCCCTGTAGACTGAAAAAGGGTAAATGAAGTGCTCATCTTTTTAAAAAGGGAAAAAGGACAATCCTGGTAATTATAGACCTGTCAGCTTAACTTCAATATCAGGGAAAATATAGAACTTAACATCAATCAATTAGCATCAACTTGAAAAGCACAAAGTATTGGGTGGGCACCAGTGTGACTTTTCAAAAGGCAAATCACGCTAGGCCAATTAATTTCCTTCTGTGATCAAGTGGCCACACAGGCAAGGAAGGAGCAGTAGCTCCAATCCCCGTGACCGTATGTAGGGCTGAAATGGTGGCTACATCTGGGGAAAGGCTCCTATGGGCGGCTGACATTCTCCAGCTTTTCAGACTCAGGGAGAAACTTAGCTGAAAAATGCGGTAGACCAGGTGGCTTCCAGAATATGTCCCACTCTAGATTCTCCGTTTGAGAACTCACGGGACCGCCACAAAAATAATTTCCATCTTGTTTAGTTTCTCCAGATCTCAACCTAAAGGCCAAAAAGGACCTAATAGTGGCTTTTCCCCGCCCCAATAATGTATTTATGTTTTCACTAGAAGAAGCGGCAGCAATAGGAATTGGGTTTGTGATACTGATCTTTGGCTTATCTGCAAGTCAAATTCAGGCTGAACCCTACAATGCTATTCTCCATTCATTTAGAATTAAGAAATATAACTTTTTGAGTGCTTAAGAATAAATAAGAGTAGAAATTTAATAGCTCTCAAAATAAGCCCAGGCATTTCTCCAAGTCTTTGAAATCTGATTCCTCTTAAACCCATAGGTGTCTATAGTGACCAAATGTTTCACATTTCCACCTTCAAAAAAACCTCTCGCTTCGCTGCCCATCGAAGCAGTTTTCGGGGTTTTATAGTCAGTGATAATGAGGCCAGGTGCTCAGGGTGCCCTGTTGTGGCACATTTGGGAGAGCTCCGATCATCTGGTTGGGCCATCATGTTACCTCGGACCAGAGGCAAACATAGAAGATTCAACACACGCTCTGGGGAAGAGAAACTATTATCAGTTCACCAGTATCTCTGCCAGGGTGCTAGCTTTTTACACACCACTAGGAAAAGACATTCTTTATGGCCAGGAAGCTTTGAAGCCAAACAGCAATTAAGAAGAGGCCTATGTAGAGTTGATTTTCCAAGTAATAGGAGGTCCCATCTTAAGAGAGATTTGGGCTTTTTTCAAAAGAACATTTCTAAAATCTCCAGATGCTCTGCTGGAGAAGGAGGGACAGTCTCCTCCTGTACCAGTCAGATCTGATTTGACACTACACACACACAATAATAATTATTATTATTATTATTATTATTATTATTATTATTTTGAACAAAGAATATGAGGACACAGAAAGGAGAAGCTAATAGACAACAATGAAAAGAACAAAGACCACAGCTTCTCCCCCTCTTTTCCTTTCCCCCTCTCCCTCACTGTCACTCTTCTTCTCCCTCTCACGTCCTTACTCATTCTCACACACACACACCACCTTCCTTGTAGAGAAAGAGACAGACTCAGTTCTCAGATGCCACTTAGCATCCCATTTCCCAACAACCCAGAAAGCTTTTCCCACTAGTCCACCATTGACACTTTTATCTGGGCTTTTGAATATTGTGTTTAGTCCAAGAACAATGACCAGAAATCCATTCCTTCACAGGCCAGACATGTTATCTCTACACATGAAGGCAACGCGTAAGTCTATAATCACATGTGTGACATATATGATTACATTTTTCTCTAAGTTCTTTAGGTAACCTTTCTTTTGACTGGAAACATTTTTAGGGATGAGAAACATGTTTTCTTTTTACTTTTATTCTTCACTTCCTTCTTTTAAATCTTTTTTTTCCAGAATGAGGACACAACGTGATATGTTTTATTGTTGCTGAATTATTGTGTGCCATTGAGTCAACTGCAACTCATAGTGAACCCTATGAATAGTAGCTCTGAACCCTGCTCTATTCTGAGCCAGTCTAAGTGTCTCTGATACATCTGCCGCTATCACCCCAGTCACTGTGTCACTCCATCTCATCCAGGGTCTTCCTCTCCTACACTGACCCTCCACCCTTCCAAGAATTATATCCTTCTGTAAGGATTTGTCCCTTCTGGCAACATGCCCAGAGTATGTGAAATATAGTTTCAGAATCCTTGCCTCCAAGGAGCAACCTGGTTTCACCCTCTCCAGGACAGATCTGTTTGTTCTCTTGGCAGTCCATGATATACTCTTCTCCAGAAACATATTTCATAAATGCTCTATAGATACAAAGCTAAAAGGAGGGATATAGGAATGTGTGAAAGGTCAAGCAAATGAAAAATATTGAAGAATAAATGCATGTTTAGTGACCATCTAAATTCTTTTCTGTATGTTCAATTTGTATTGCAGAATAAGAAGCAAGAATTAGCATGTGAGGAATCAGAGATGGAATTTGGGTCCAATAAACACGGTTACCTGAAACAACTACAACAACTGAAGTCAAAATTGCTGGCCCTTCAGCAAGAACTGGAGTGTCGCACAGAAGAGTTACAGACTTCTTACTCTTCCCTCCTGCAGTATCAGTCCATCCTGGAGAAGCAGACTTGTGACCTGGTCCAACTGCACCATCACTGCAAAATGAAAGAAGATGAGGTACGAATAGTTCTAGAAATGCCCCTGTGACCCTTGTGCCTAGAGAAATCAGACCAAGCTCACGAGAAGCCAAAAGAGGAATGCATCACACCATCCTGAGCAGGTTTTCTGGAGTTCTCTTTAGTTCTCGATCTTTCTGTCTATGAGCAGAAGGAAACCAAGCAGCTGTAACTGGTCAGGGCCCCACTACTAATGTGTGTGGGGTAGATGTGTGTCCATCTTTTTAGTTACCAATGCAAATTTTAACACAAACAGTTCTAGATCTCTAAGGGTTAGAAAAGACTAAGGTCCATTGACCAAACCATTTTTAGAAAATCGACTTTTGATAGTATATCATTTCCTGAGACGGCAGAGTTGATAAGGATAGCCAGACTATGAATCTGAGTCAATCATCAAGAGAACCAGAACATTTTTTTCAGACTAACATTTTAGAGCATATAAATTTTAGTATGGATATTTGTTTCTATTCATGCTCCAAGGAGGTATGTTTTTTTATATGTACGAGTATTATCCTGGTAGAATCCCAGGATGATAGAACTAAAAATAGGTGGACAGTGAGACACAAAGGAGCAACAAAGCTTTAAGAGCCTGCAGTCTCCTATCTTCTATAACCTCCCCTGGCATTTTCTTCCTTCAACTTCTAAAAATAAAATTCCAAATAGTGACTTGGGTGGTGCTGTTACTTAAGGACTAACTTCTGGGTCTTTAACAAGGTCTTTTAAAATACACAGAGTATTTTAAAAAGATATAGTTACGATCTTAGTGACCTAAGAATCTACTGAAAATGGCCTTGGAGAAGGAACAGAAGAGGGTAGGCAAAGCTTGTGGGCATAAAATATGGTTTAATAAAAGTTAAACAGGCCCATGTTATGTCTAACTGGTTGACTGTAACCTAGGTCTTGATAAAGTGATCCTGAATTAGTTGATGTTCTGTTTAGCTGTACCTAACAAAGAATTCAAAAGTCATAGTTAAGATTAAAATAGGACAGAAGATTGTTTCTATAAAAATGAGATAATAAATTTAGAGATAGGTAATCGGGTACCGTTAACTTCATGTGTCATCAGGTACCCAAACTCTCGTGTTTGGGCTTCACCATCATCAGCTCAAGCTTTCCCTTCTCTGGGTCATCAAACTATTTCTGGGGTTCCAGCAGTCACATCCGTGTTCCAGATAAAGAGGATGAAGGAAGGAGTAGAAATAGAATAAAAGTATAATTCTTCTTTTTGAACACACATTCCAGAAGCACCACAGACCACGTTCACTTATTAGTCACGTAGCCACTGTTTAATTGCTAGAAAGTCTCAGAAACAAGGTATTTTCATTAGGTCTACTGTTTCCCAAATAAAATCTGGGAAGAGTTCTGTTTACTAAGAAAGAGAAGAAGAATTTCTTTATGATTCAGCAAGTAATGATTACTGCCACAAATTCTAACCTGGGGAAACTTCAGAAGACAGGAGGAAAGCAATGGAAAATGATTCTAGGCCTTCTGCCAGATTCTCACAACGTGGGCCCTTAGCTATAAAACGACCAGACTTCGAAGGCTGAGTTCTCCCAGAGATACGGATATGAATGCAAGCCGTTACCTCAGGAGGTGATCTCTGAAAGCACAGGGAGGGAGGAGGGAAGTCAGAAAGGACCAGGGAGAAAGTCCATAAAGAACAACTGGGATTCAGTCCCTCTGTGAAATGAGTGGAGGTTAGCAGGAGTGGCATCCACTTCCTAATGAACTTTGATAAATGAAAATCATTACAGGAAGGCGTCAGGCCTTTTTTTTTGTCCCCCCATAGGGTCACTATGAGTCGTGCTCGACTCAATGGCAATCAACAACAACCACTTCAGAATCCACTTCAGAAGAATCCCCGTCAACCCCACCGAGTCACTGGTTTAGGGTACCTCGAGACTCCCCATAAGTTTTGCCCTGTGCAATCTTATCCCTTTGTCTGAGTATTCTCCCTGGGTCAGGCCGATTCAGGTAAAGAGGCAAAGATGCAGTTGGAATGAGTTCTGGGTGCCAAAAAAAATATGAACGCGCCACTATTTCTGTTATGAACACTTGAATGTAAAAATACTACTCTTTAGCTAATACACCTCTCACAAACCAAGTGATTCTTTCCTAGGAAGAATCTCAAATCAGCAGCACCTATAATTCTCTTAAACCAACAGAACTTGGTCTAGCTAAGAATTAACACTGCTCTGTTAGCCCAAAAGTAACACCTCTCTGGCAGTTCAGATCCACCAGCAGCTCCACACGGAAAAGCTGGGCAGTTTCCACCTTGTGATTTACAGCCTCCCAAAAATCTAGTGGAGGATCAACTGGGAGTTGGTTCCAACTCTCAGGCAATGAGTTGTTGAGTTGAACCAAACTGAATATGTCCTTGCTCACTCTGCCTGCTCTTAATTCCTTCAGCAAATATTGTTTAAGACACACACCCAGAGCAGCTAACAAAGTCCTCTTATTTGGAACAGAAAATTTCTTTTGAATGTATTATGTCTCAACTAAACTCTAGGGGTTAGTTGACTAATAAATTGATTATGGAGAAAATGACTCTACGTAAGGGATTCTGGCCCACAGTTTCTGACTGTCTTGGGGGTTTTGCTGATGGACACCTGTGTGTATAAAGTGTCCTGCTTTTTCTAAATTAAACTTCTAGAGAAAAGAAACAAGCCCTTAAAAAGTGAAGCTTGACAAATTAATTCCTATTCATTAACCTGTTGTTTTGTGCCATTGATTCTGAACCGACTCATAGCTGACCATCCTGCAGGTTTTCAGAGGCAGTAAATCACATGGGAGGAGATTGCCCATCTTTCTCCAATGGAGCAGCTGGTGGATTTGAACCGTATGTCTTTGGGATTGCAGAGTGACTGGGAATATATTCCCTTCTTTACAAGGAGTTCACCATCTAAGCAAGATGATCTTTCTGTTTCTAATCATATCTAATAATATCATTTCGGATATTAACGAGCTTTTAGATCTATGCTGGGTCTATTCTGTTCACCTACGTTTCCAGATCCATTAGAAAACTTCTCTGCATAAGATTGTATAGCCACATCCTTTTCTCACAGGCTACATGGTTTTATTCCTAAATCAACAGGTGATTCTCTATGAAGAAGAACTGGAAAATCAGAATGAGAGCACAGGGAAGAAGCTGCATATAGCACAGGAGCAACTTGCCTTGGCCGGAGACAAGATTATCTCCCTGGAAAGGAGCTTAAACCTCTACAAAGATAAATACCAGACTTCTCTGAGCAACATCGAGTTACTAGAATGCCAAGTGAAGATATTGGAGGGAGAGCTCAATGGAATTGTTTGTCAGGTAGGGCTTGAACTGGAATTCTCAGACCGGGAACTCCAGCAAGTGGGCATGCTTCCAATTGCTCCCTGAAACACTCCCAGCCTCCTCCAAAAACTTAGCTCATCAGGCAGCTATCAGTTGCTTGAATCATTGTTTGTTTTGTGATTTTAGCGCAAGTTTATGGCTAGTTTGGCTGTGTACAGTAACTTTAAAAACCATCTTCATTTAAGTCTCTGAAAATATAGCTGCATTGTCTTATACCATCCAGTTTTTTAAAAGAGTTGTCACCTACTTTATTTCTTTGAACTGTAGAATTTTTAGACTCAGAGTGCTTTTCATTTCCTTTACATTAAGCCTCTCAATCCTTAACTGATCCTTTTAATCTGGATACTTTCATTCTTCTTAAATTAATCCCTATTTTTTCATCCTGTAGTATTAAAAATATGTCAAAACCTAAACACCTCTTAACTTTTGTATTGCATTATTCGTTCAGACCAATGAGAAGACAGTAATTATGAAGCATGAATTCAGATGATGCAGAGAGAAATATTTAAAATCGGGGGCAAGAGGGAACATTTCTAGGAAAACATGTGTGCTATTGCTACTACTCATTGCTAATGAGTTAGAACAGACCTGTAACCGACCCTCTGACAAGTTTTCAGAGGATGTAAATTGGATAGGAAGAGGTCCATCTTTCTCCCTAGGGGCAGTTGGTGGTTTCAAACCACATGCCTTTGGGTTTGGTGGCATAATCCTTTACCCACTAGGCTGCTAGAGCTCTTCTGTCTCACATTTAAGATATTTTTCATAATTCTAACATACTACATGGATACTTTATGTTAAAAATCACTTATGCAAACAACAAATGCTGGCGAGGTTGTGGTGAAACTGGAACTCTTATTCAGTGTTGGTGGGAGTGTAAAATGGTGCAACCACTCTCGAAGGCACTTTCTCAAAAAGTTGGAAATAGAAATACCATTTGACCCAGGAATTCCATGGCTGGGAATATACCCTAAAGAAACCAGAACCACCATCCAAGAAGATATATGCACACCTATGTTTGTTTGCTGCTGTTCTGTTCACAGTAGCAAAGAGGTAGAAACAATCCAGGTGCCCATCAACAAACAAATGGATAGAGAGCTGTGGTATAGTCACACAATGGAATACTATGCAGCCATGAAAAACAAGGAACTCATGAAATAATATGCAAACTGGGTGACCCTGGAGGACATTATGTTGAGTGAAATACCTCAATCACAAAAGGAAAAATACTGCATAATGTCACTGTTATAAAACAGGACTGACATCAGATTTGAGGGGAAACTAAGAAAAGAGGAGATAAATAATGTACTCTGCATTGAAACAGATGTAGGAGAGAACTGTTTAAAAGGGATATATGATTTGGTATTGTTTGCATGTCAAGAGTCCAGAATAAGAGCTGCATAATAAGATGGATTGGTGGATTGTATAACAATGAATAATCTTTAATTGATTGAATAACAGTGAATAATGTATAATCTTTCATTAAAATCTCAATTTTTAAAAAAAATCACTTCAGAACCAAAGTAAAGACAAGGCCACTCCTACCTGTGGAGCCTCCACATTTTAGGTTGTTTTATACATGATGATTTCGTGATAGAAACGGCTTCTTGCCAGGTTCTTTTTTAAAAACATGTCGGGGGGGAGTTGGGTGCAGGTTGTTTTGGGTTTTTTTTAAATTTTTTTATTATTATTAATTTTAATGAAAATTTACAGAGACTTCGGATTTCCGTTCATTCATTGTTTCACTTTTCTCCCTGCCTACCCTTCC